AGGAATCACCCGTGCTGCCGTGCCTTCCCTTGCCTGCTTGTGCTGCCTCCATGGTCCCAGGACAGAACTGCACCAGTGGAGTGCCCGGGCAGGTGTGCTGCCTTCCTCCTGCTCTGCAGAACAGCCCCATTTCTATGGCTTTGCAGTAACTGTCGTTCCATGTTTCTTCAGCCCCTCCAAGACCCAGCGGGTGGGTTTGCAGATCTGTGCCCAGCCCTTTATGCACCCAAATGAGCTGTTGCAGCAGGAGCCAAGTGAGAGGTTGTGGAGCTGAGACGCTTTGGGTGTCTGACCACAAAACGGCAGCTGGACAATTTTTCTGCAGCTATAAATAAATGCTGAATGAATGAGAAATGGATTTTCTTTTAAGCCTTCCTGAAAAATCACTTCTCAGCTGTGACAAGCATGAAAAGTGTCAGCCCCAGGGCAGGGGCAGGGACAGAGGCAGGGCTCAGCCAGATCCGTCCCTCTCTGAGCTCCTCTCTGGAACAAGCAGGACTTGTGGGCGCCAGCACCGAGCCTGGGCTCTGTTTCCAGCAGACTGACTGGCTTTTTCCTACAAGAGCTTGGTGTTTTCTTTGGGGCAAACACAGTGGTGTGTTTTTAAAGTCATGCTTAGAGTGCAGGTTCAGCGCCACAGAGCCCAGCTCAGGATGCGTAATTAAGGCTGAGAATTGTGCCAGTGGTAGGTAGACCTTAATGGATTTTCTTTTCTCTCTCTTTTTATTTTTTCCTTCCCTTTTTTGTATTATTTTGCCAGGCATTTCCTTGAAGTCTGTTAGGCGTCTCGGGGCAAGTAAAAGTTGCTCTGGAAGCTGGTGAGGTGCCGTTTCTTTGCACTAAACAGCCTTGCTGGGCATGCTTGCCTTGCGGCAGGGGAGCTCTCCCATCGTTTCTGCCTGTCTTCCTTCTGCTCAGGAGCCGTTGGTGGGTGGCTTATCTTTATAGGCAGGCAGCGATGTGTTTTGGGCAGCAGAGCCTGGGTGGTGTGGGGGCTTGCAGGTGTTCACAGGGATTTTGCAAGCCTGCCTGTTGACACAGAGGCTGGTGTTTCTGCTCCCCTCGTTTCAATGGGATTTTTGCCTTGGTCGTAGCCTCTGTGTTTCTGTTCCTTTGCTTGTGAGCTCGTCCCTGCATGGGTGCCTTGTTCCCCACAGCACTCCTGTCTGCTCCCCTCTGGTGGTGTTGCTGCCTTATTTCCTGCTACCTCCAGTGGGGATTTGTTAGGCTTGTGGGGTTTTTCCCCAAGGAATTTTGTGGTGCAGGGCTTGCTTTTGTGAGAATTGTTGCTTCTCTCTAAGTTTGATGTTACGTTCTGCTTCTCGGGCTTGAAAATGCGGATGAGTTGCTTTTTTGTTTAGGGAGATGTGATTTTGGGGTTATTTTTGTTTTAGAGTCTCTGTGTATCTCACATAAACTATTCCTATCTAATTTGTTCTGGCTTGGATGAAACCTGCTTTGAAATGAGAACAAGGCTGAAATTGCAGTAATTTGGGGAAGCGTGGAAGAGCTTTGCTGGTGTCAAGTCTTATCTTCCCATGCTCTCTTAGAGAAACTCAATTCAAATTATTGCACAGCTCATTTGTTCCCTCTACTACAGGGTTCGGATGAAGTGGGGGAGCGTTGATTCTCCCACGTAGAATAAATGTCACTGTGCTTGTGGATCATTTCCATTGCCTATGGGCCTGCCCAGTTATTGTTGTCCTTCGTTTGCAGCTGCAGGGATTTCTGCATGCAGAGGAGTTGTTTCCTGTTACTTTCTGCATCCTGATTAGGAGTGATACCTTGTGAGGGCTTCTTTTTCGTGGTGACAGAGCTGGAGAACTTTTTTTTTCCTCCCCTCCCCTGTTCTGATGTACTTGTGTGGAAGTTTGGGCTGAGCTTTTGTACCTGTTGTGTGGAGCACGCAGGGCTCAGCATTCTTTAGAGCGTTGTTGGTACTGGGGTGTCCCTCATCAGTCACGTACAAGTGCTGGCTTGTAAAGAAAGCACTTCAGATTTCTGAACCAGAAACGGGAATGTGGTGTTTCTGTCATTATTGTACGCACAGTGGTAGTTGGTTGGCTCTGTGGTGCCGTCGTAGCCTAGGAGCTTCTCTGTGGTGCATTGGTGTACAAGCAGTCCCTGTGCTGTCCATGGCACCGATGCTGCGGGTAGCGATTTTATCTGTGCAGGTTTTCAGCGGCTTTTTAATATTTTCTTCACCTTATGTACATCAAAAATTAACCAGTAAAAAAAACCCAAAGCAGCTCCCATTCACAGAGGTCTGATGATTATGTCTCTGGAAGTTTCCCCATGGTGCCCAGCCTCCTGTGGCCAGGGACTTTGCAGCTGACTGAATAGCCAGTGCAGGTCTCCTTGGGGAATGGAGGAGGTGCTGAGGTACTGGCAGAGGATTTACCATGTTCAGGAGTGAGTCTTATAACTGCATATGCCTCGGCTTGTGAGGGAGGGGTCTGAAGGGTGCTAGCTGCATCTGTCACCCTGAGCCCTGTGGCTTTCCAGGCTGTCTCTTGCAGATCCCTCCCCAACACCCTTTGGGTGCTTACATTTGCCCTAAAGCTGATGCTTGAGGGAGCTCACTCAGTAATAGTCACTAAAGTGGCTTTTTGATGCTCTCATGGTAGGAGCAGGAGTGTGGATAAGGCATGAAAATCCATAACCCTGCTTGCCTCCCTGCAGGGAAGAGGCTGGTGGCCAGCTGGGCTAGTGTCTGCACTGACTTGCCCTCCCTGTCTCCCCACATTGCTCTTCAGTCTCAGTTATGGGCCATCACGCTCTCGGGTGCGATGTGCATTACTTACTCATCTGGTTTAGGTCATCTCTGGGTCCCAGGACATCCCTTGGGTTGGCACACTGACTTTCAGGCATTACCTGCAGAGATTCCTGTTCAGAGCTTACCTGGGGGCTGCTGTGGAAATGAGAGATTTGAGATGATTTGAGAGATTTGAGATGGGAGGGCTGTTTGGTGGTGTGTGAGCATTGGGGTACTGAGTTAGGAGTGTTGTGGCCACCAGAACTGACATCCTCAGCTGGGACCAAACTTCTTGGTGGACATTGAACCTATTTGGTGGCACAGCTCAAGCTTAAGCCAGGTCTTGGTGACTTGGTTTCCCTGCTTAGAGAGACAGTCTTTTACTCTGGTGTGGAAGCTGGATATGTGCTAATTTGTGCCAGTTTGGCCGTGAAGGGGTTTGCAAGTGTCCCAGGCAGTGAAAGCCTAGTGGATCAAGCTGTATTGTGTGGGTGCATTATGACTAAGTGGAAGCTGGGATTCCAGCTAATATCAGTATTTCTCCATTTTTTCCAGGATCTTTGGGAATTGTTAGTGCTTTAAAGTAAGTCTAAAATGCACTGTGTGGTCTTTCAAAACAATGCTAAAAGGCTGTTGCTCCCACTGAGCCACGTGTCTGTGGAAAGGTCTTCCGGAAAGAGACTATTAATAGCAGAGCCTTTCAGCTTCTTTCGTTTTCGTTAACCAAGTCCGTGCACTGAGGAAGGGATGTTATCTGGAGCTCTGGGTAGCAAAGCTGTGCTGATTTTAATTAAAAAAAAATATTAAAAGGAAAAAATATTGCAACAATGCAAGTTACTTTTCACCCATATTAGTAAAAACATGTGTTTGGCAGGGTGCTGAGCACCTTTAGTACGGTGAGAGTCAAGGTATTTTGTGTTTTACAGGATCATTTTGATCTGAAAGGGGCCAGGCACGCAAACCTTGAGAACAAACATGGTCTGCTTATCAAGTCTCATTACAAATTAATGTTTGCATTAAAAAAATACCTTTAAGTTTGTTCTTCATCACGTCTGTGGCATCTCCTTTCTTCCTTTATAACAGAGTCCTTCATGTCCGCGTCTCTCTCCAGCAGGAAAAATGCCGTTAGCGGGTAAGAGCTGGGACTCCTGCAGCTTCCCCTCTGTGGATACTCTTTGCAATAGGTCATTGCACTGTCACGCTGCCCTAATATATGAGCATTTACACCTGCTAGGAAAAGCAAGTCCACCATCCCCCTGGTGCGGCCCCAAGCAGTTGCATTCAGTCTTTTTATCATAGAAATAAAAATGACAATGACAGCAGAAAATGGCCGCTCTCTCTGGAGCTGGGCTGAGCTCTCCACTTCAAAGGTGCTTTTATGGCATCCCTGGAGTCTCTAATAAAGGACGCCTGCTCTGAAAGGCTGGCATCTCTCCTGGAGAGCTGGGGAGTGTGTGTCTTTAGGGGCAATATTTACAGCGTTAAAGGGCTCGGGGGAGATGGGAGCAAGAGTTACAGCCTCTTTCTTTTCCTTTTATTTCCATAACTGCGTAGGCATGTTTGCCTCTGGTTGCTCTTTCGGGTCACTGGAGTGGATTTTGGAGCTCTGGGCATGCTGAGAGCCCATGACACTCAAGAGTTTGCGTGCCTCCTCTCCAAAGCATTCTCTGGGAGACACAGCTCCATTGTGACGAGGATGGAGATTCCTGAAAGTTCCATTTAAAATGCTCTCTGCTTTCTGTGCGAGTGATCTCTCCTTGTTCTGTGGTGAAATTTAGTATCCCCTGTCCTAGCCGTGGGCTTACAAAGTCATGGTGTTTAAACCATGTTTCATTAGGTCTCTTGGACTTAGTGGCATTTGGCTGTTAGGGGAAGAAATGAAGAGATGTTTGGTGCTGGAACCAGCTGCACTTTGTGGGACTTGCTGTAAAGATAAGGGCTGGCAGGAAGGCTTGCTGCCCTCCTTCCTGGGGCTGGTGGCTGCAGACCAGAGCTTGAGTTCGATGGCGTGTGTCTATTTGGTTATTTTTGTTGTTTTGTTTCATTTTTTGTCCTCCAAACAAAACCCCTAGGATTCTGCTTTTTATGTCGGTTTGTATGAGGCTATTGACCCTGTTATTAAAATCTTCCCTGCGTTTGCCTGTTCTGTTGCAGGCTCTGGTTGTCTGTCTGGCAGAGGCAGGGGAAGAGTCGGTGTTCAAGAAGCTGCTGAGCAAAGTGAAGGATGCTCAGGCCCTGGATGCTCAGACCATCGTGTCTTTACTGAAACTGTTTCAAGATGCAAATCCGAAGCTGAGAGCGGCTTTGCTGGAGAGGGAACAAGGCAGCGGAGACACCCTGCAGCAAACAGGTAGAGAATTGGGAGCAGGCTCTCGCAACGTGAGTGGGCAACCTTCCAGACAGAGGAGGTCTCCAGAAACCCTCTATCCTTACTCAGATGCAGGAGGTTTATCACGTGCTGGCCCAGATCCTGGAGCGTTTCTGTCCTGCAGCAGCGGGGTGCAGGCAGTGCAGGGCTCTCCCCATTGCTGCCTGGAGGGCTGGATCGATGGCTGCGGAGCCAGCATGAGTCAGAGCACAGCTGAGCCTCAGGACTGAAAGCTCCTTTCTTACTGGAGTCTGACACAAAGCAGTGGCCTTGCAAACCTGGTGTTAACCTCCAGCTTGCTTTATGGCTTTGTGCTCTGTGAGATAAATGAGACGTTTTCCTTTCATAGAGTTTAAAGGGAATAGTAAAGTGGTTTTCCTCTGCTGCTTGTGTTTGGGATGAGCTTTGCTATTCACTTAGATCTTTCACAGAGTCTTACTCGCTTCAGGAGCCTGTCACTTCTTTCAGACTGGCTTGTTTCTTCTCTTGTGCTTCTGAATCCTTTTCCCCCCAGAGAGCACAGATGAGGGCGAGACACTGACCACTCGGTTGCTGGGATGCAGGGAGGAGCTGATCCAGAGCGTGACACAGCTGAGCCCCATCGTAGAGTTCTTGGAGGCAGCAGAAGAGGGATTCCTGACCGCCTCAGAGAAGCGGGTAAAAAAATCTGAAATAAGGAGAATTCTGTGGGCGAGGGGGGGGTGTCTGTGTGTCTGCAAGGCAACGTCTTACCGCATGGTTTGACAAGTGATGTACTAGCCTCACCTGGCAATTTCACCTCCCTTTTGTACAGCAAAAAGTGTGTTGTCTCAGGTCCTTCTGTGCTGAACTGGGAATAGTGAAAGCTGAGTTGCGAAGGCAACCTCAAGACCAGGATGAACACTGCCTGGCGCAGTGTCAGACCGCCCCTGCAAGCGGAGCCTGGGCAGAGGAGGTGCCTGGTACTCCTCGTAGGCCCTGAAAATACCTTTTGTGAGCCTGGAGAAGGCTCTGTAGTGGAGTTTGGTTTCAGCAGAACCACTGATACTTCTGTGCTGCTTTCTTGCCAGTTACATCCTTGTGTACGTGGTCATCAGCTAACCCTTCCGCTGGCTCTCCTGGCTTTAACTCTTTTCTTTAATTCTTATCACACAGTTGCCTGCAAGAGCAGTACATTCACTGACTGACTGTTTTGTTTGTGGGTTTTTTGATGTGTTGAATGCAGCAGTTGGTGGGGAGGTCTGTTGCTTTCCTGTAAGCAATTGCATTACGTATGCTGATTTGAAGAAGCCATGAAGGACAAGATATTGTGTATAACCTGCTTTCCTTTGTGTTTTGCGGGGAGCTGGCTATACCCTGGATGTGCAGCTGAAACTTGCAGGGTGCCCTAGCATGCTGCGTTCAGTGCACAGCTTGCAGACCTCCTGTCCTAGTTTGTCACATCAGTTGGTTCCCCTGACACAGGATTATAGCAAATGGAAAGCACTGTTGTGCTCAGTGGCATGAATGATGTCTGCTTTCTGGCTGAGTGAGCCTGGCCAGAGCCACGACAGGTGAGCTGAGAACCTCTGCCCATCTCATAAGTCCCTCAATTAATGTCTTGCTTACTTGCACGTGGTCCTTGACCAAGTGTCCAGGGTGGAGCATCCCTGAGCGTGGGTGCAGCTTGGTGCAGGAGAGCCAAAGGAGGTGCTGCCAACAGAGGTGTCCACCTTGTCCTCGTGGGCTAGGGTGTGACTCGGGGCTGATGAGTTTTCCCCTCTGAAAGCAGCATGGCTGAGCCTGGAATGGAGACGTCAGAGGAGGGAGCGAGGTGTGAATGCAGCAAAGGACTCGGCATCTGCTGGGGATATTGCGGCTGTCAGAGGAGACCTGCGTGGTGGTGCCTGGGGCTGAGCTCTTAGGCGTGAAAGCTTCATCAGCAGTGGGGAGATTAGGATTTTTCATATATGCCTGTTCATGTTGGATTGTGGCCTTTCTTTTAGAGACTGCACCTTTTCCCTGCTTTCTTTTTGTCTTCATGAAATTAGGTAGTTAAAATGCAGCCATTTTTTATCTCCCTTCCATTGAAAAAACCCACCAAAACCAACAATAAACCAAAACCATTCTGCCACCAGAATTCTGCTCCTTGGGCAGAGGATACAGCCTCTAATTGCATTGTCATATACTACAGGACTCCTGCCTCATTGGCTGAAGGGGTAGTGTTATTCAGTATTTCTTTTTATCCTCTTCGGTCCCTTTATGCTCCGTTTGCTGCAGAGCCTCCAAACCCTGCTCTGAATACCAAGTCCTTCGCCTCTATGGGATCCCTTCGTGCTCTTGTTTTAGCCCACAGGTTCCCAGCAAATAGCAAATGTGTTTGGGGAGCACTCCAGTGAGGCTGAGTGCATAGCTTTTTCCCTGCTGTGGCACAGGAAAATAAGGCAGAAATTGCTGAGTGTAGACTGACCTTGGGGGAGTCTCTTTTTTTCAGGCTTGGTCTATTTGTTTATTTCTGCCCCCCCCTACCCCCCAGACAAGTGGAAAAGTGTTTAATTATTTCAGAAGTGAAATTCATTAAATTAGTGGGCCTGTGGCATATGTGCAGTTGAGATCTCTGGTGTCTCAGGTGCAGTACTGGGAAAACGTACATGGAATGAGCAGCCACCTCTGAAGGTTTCGACTTACCTGATTCATCCAGCATTGCACTAGAGCTCTGGGCTGGCAGAGATAGGATCTAGTTCTCCAAGGGTTCGTAAAGATGAGGCTTTCTGTTTTCCTCTCACAGACACTGCCTCATTAGCTACACATTTATTCAGCAAGACAAGTGTGAGTTTTACTGTAACAGCCTTTTTTCTATGCAACTGGATTCTTTCTGTTCCTGGTCCGAGCTATGCATGGGGCAAGTCTGATTTTCTTTGCTCAAAAACCAGTACATGATGTGTTGTTAAGCCTCTTTGTAAATCCCTGTTTTTCTGGGGAACTTTTTACCTAGAATTTCTGGTTTTTGAATGCTTGACTCATGGCTTTATTAGTGTTTCTGTAATGTGGGGAGGTAGGGTGGAGGATCTGGGAGATTGCTTGAGTGCAGATTTTTCACTTAAGAGGAGTAAACTTGGATGCAAAGGAAGAGCAGATAACCTCTTGTGCGTGGTGTCCCATGGCTTAGGTTGTCGCAGAGTTCAGAGCAACCAGCCTGCAGTGCAGCCCTGAACACAGAGCTGGTAAAAACGTCTGCCCTTTCCTTCTGTCCAGGCTCTCTTCTAGAGGGGAGTTGGGCATTTTGAGCTACGTACTTTCCCCTCCCTTTGGCTCCAGTGTCTACGCGGCTTGATGTTCAAACCAAACTGCTTCAGAGCTGGGGCAACACGAGCAAGGTTACTGGCCATTGCAGGAGCAATCCTAACTGGATGCACGGGAGGATGGAGAAGTCCTGCTGCAAGCAGGGGTGTTTTCCAGCTGTGTCACCTGGGTGTTGTCAACATCGGGCCATAACTTCTGTGCCTGTTGAGACTTGCCTGGGAGCAGTGGTAGTTGCAGCATGAGCTCCCCAAAAAGATGCTGCTCTTGTACCCCTTTTTGTGTTCGCTTATACGGTAACTTCAGACTGAGCAATCCAGAATCAACTCAGTGTGAATTAGACGGGAGAATATGTCAAGTTCACTAACAGAGTTTTGGCTATAAAAGGATGGATTTTTAGAAATGAGAGAAACTAATTAATGAGATCAGCTGCTTGTAAGAGTGCAGGAGGAGCTGTTGGATTAGTTTCTTTTATGTTAAAAGCAGGAGAACTGTCTGAAGTTTGCATCCTCAACGAGAGAGGAGAATGTGTACAAGAGGTTACAGACCTGAGTAAATTAATAACTTGAGAAAGAGTATTAGGACCTGCAAGGAATGGCTGAAATGTCTGACAGGCAAAGAAATGTCCTTTAGAGGTATGAAGAGGGTCCTGTAGCGTGTCAGGCTGTTGGGCATCACAGCCTCTATTGAGACAAGCAGCAAATGTTTGTCTGATCAAGTAAAGGAAAAGAATAATGAGAAGATTATTCATGACTGAGCCCAGGGACAAATCCAGGAGAGACACAGGAGCAGAAATTTCCTGCAGCTGAAGTGAAACCACAACTCAAAGGGCATCCCCCAACAGACTGGAAGAGCTGGCACACGTGGCTATGAGAGCGACAGCAGGGTTTATTACTGTATTTTCCAAGTTGAGAGTGGTCCCTACAACTGCTGACCAGGGCAGACATATGGGAGAGGGAAGCAGTGATGCAGGCAGCCAGCTCTGGGACTGCACAGGAATATGTGTTGGGCCAGGCAGGACAGCCCGTGTAGCTGAAACACTGCACGTAAACAAGAAATGGGATAGAATGCAGAAAGGGTGTTGAAGTAAATTGTTTCTGCCTGACCTGGAATCTTTATTTGATGAGATAAAAATGGGTTTTTCTGCCTTGGTCTAAACTTGAGCAAAGCATTTGAATGTCGTGTGAGGAAATTGTTGAACTAGAGGAAGTGCTGATAAAAAGGGATGTAACTTATTGCGAGATAACTACAGATTGTGCTGAAGGAAGGACTGACAGGTTGGAGCAAGGTTACCAGTGGGATTCCTGGCACTTACTTGATATTAATGCTAATGTTATTGACACAAAAATTTCAGAGCATGCTTAGCAAAACTTGCTGATGAGCAAAACCAGGATCTTTTGTCCATGCAGAGGAGGATCTGCAAGAGGGAGATTTACATGGCTGCAGAACTAAGTGAGAACCAAGTGACGTGGTAGTATGAAGTGAAGGGCATGCATTTAGAGGCAGTAACGAGAACTAAGAATGACAACTGAAATGTCTGTGTGCGGTTCCAGTCTTGTTCAAAAAAGATGAATTCGTATTGAAGCAGAGACAGATCTTCTGTTGTAAGATCAGGGGAGTGAGGAGCTGTTTTACGAAGGGAGCTGCCTTATTTAAACAAGTGAAGTGACAACTGAGAGGGAATATGATTGTGCTGTTATAAAGAAATTGGAGAGGAAGGGTAGGGTAAACACCTTGGAGAGTTTAGGAGGCTTTTTAAGCTAAAAGATAATGTTGGCACATGAACAAATGGGTATACACTAGCCATGAATAAATTTAAGCTGAAAATTAGGAGAATCAGCAGGGGAATGAGACTGTGGAAGAGCTTTCCAACCAGGGGAAAGGGAGCAAAAATGTAACTAGTTGTAGGACAGATCTTAATAATTTTATTAATGGGACTGTGTAGTGTAGTGCTTATGACAGCAGGGAACTGGACTGTCAACCTACAGGGTTTCTACCGTCCTACATTTCAACTGCTTGGGAGCACAGTAGTTGCAGAGAGGAGGTCAACCTGTATTTGTCAGCTGGCTTTCTCTTGTAGGAGCCTTGTAGGTATTATACTAGAGCTTTTCCAAGCTACAGTGATTGCATCTCACGTAAGAGATGTCTCATGTGGCCTTATCATAGAAATAATCATTCGATTAACATGATGCTTATTTAAATAATGAGTCTTTTTTTTTTTTTCCTGTCCATCTCTGTCTTTTGATGACAAACAAGGGAAGAGGGACTGCCAATTTTAAAAGTATTTGCTAAAAATATTAAATGAAATATTGTTTTGAACCCTGTCTTTAGGTCTGTTTTTGTTTCCTTTGAAAAGATGTTTTTCGTTTGTTGGCCACTTCCAGGAGCTAGACTTGGTGGAAGAACACACCAGGGTAGTTTTCAGGGTGGCACATGTCAGATATACCCGGGACATGTTTAGACGTTCCTGTAGCTAGCACCCCGTAACACCTCCCAGTTAGTCAAATTAGTGGGAGCGGTCAATATGGATTTATTGCAGTGCTGTGTACTGTGACACTGCTCCTGTTTCTCTGGTCTCTATTCAGATCCAAGAGTTTGTAGGAAGCTCGCTCAAACAGATTCTTGGCTGTTTGTTTGTGACAGGTAGTTTTGGATTGCTGTGAAGGTGGTTCTCAGAGGGAAGCCATGGACAATCTGCTCAGGAAGGTGAATGAAGAGAAAACTCTGAAAGCGGAAAGTTTGGTCAAACTTCTGGGGGCTGTGAAAGCATCATTCCCTGGTCTCCGCATTCTGCTAGACAGCTTGGTGGCAACAGCAAGTGTCTCTGATGGCAAAGGTATGGATATACTAAACTCCAGAGCCTGGGGGCTCAGTTTGGGGAATTGCCAGGAAGTTTGGATGCTTGTCTGGACTTCAATGTGCTCTTATAAACTTATTTTCATGTAAGGGAATGGGATGGCCATTTTACTCAAACAAAAATGGTCTGGGAGCACTGGGGCAGGAGGACTCTTGCTGCTTTGTAATGAAATGAGCAGTGTGGGGCAGAAGCCTTGTTGGCTCCTTCCTTGACACTGATAGGGTGGAAACTAGGATGTAGTCTCTGGAAAACAGGAGAACTGTTCCCTCCAGTGTCAAATTACTTCCTGGTTTTGAGTCACTTAAAAGCAGCAGCAGCATGTGTCTGTAATAAATAGAACAATTTTCACATAATAAATGCTTCACAGGTGAAGGCATCTTTACCAAACTCTGGTCTGTTGGTGACTTTAACGTATGGTACTTGCTGGCGTTGGAAGCAAATGCTTAAAACTTCTCTAAAGTCGTAGATGTCTTGACATTAAATACAGACAATGTCTTAGCTGTGTGCTGTGTTTGTGAATTCCTTGTGATTGAAAACTTAGTTGGGCTATGCTCCTGTCCTCGGTCTAGGTAGCATTTCTGCACATGGTGCCCACTAACTCGTGGTCTCCTGTGTGGAGCAGAGTGTGCTGATGGGAATCCCACAATTAGTGTCCCCATTAGACATCGTCATTTTGGGCAACTAGTCCCCACCTTCCTTTTGTTTTGATGGGGTTTTATTGTTTGTTGCCTGCCAGTGGTGGTTCAGGGAGTCATGAGTCCTCGCCTTTGGGCTGGTGGGACAGCCTTCCGAGTTTGAGTGGGTTCAGGTACGCTCCTGAGCAATTCAGATAGAGAGGCAAATTTCACCAGCCCTGAAGTCACATAAAAATTAAAAACTAAATTAACATGCAGCGAAATGTAAATGAGTGTTTAATAGAAAGCAAAACTGTGCTCGTAATGCCAATAATTTCCTCTGTAGCAAACATTCCCGACAGGCAGTTGCTTTGTCATTTGTTAAGCACCATTGCTTTCCTGAAACGGCAGATTCCCAACATGGTTAATTATCTAGTGATAATACCCGTTCCAAGGAGGAGCATTCCTTAATTACATAGAGCTGAATCTCTTCAAATTGCAGCTTGAACAAACAGAAGCAGAAATATTTCTTATCATGGAAATAGAGAGGGAGGGAATGATTTGAGCCAGTGACAGCAGCCTTTGATGTCCTGTGCTGTCCTGCTAACAGAAAGGACATCTTGTGTAGGGCACGCTCTGCTTGTGGAGCCCACCTTGGTACGGCAGCAGAGCTGAGAGTGCATTCGTAAGAACTCAAATTTGTGTAACGAAATTAGAAACATTCCAATGGGAGAAGGGGGAAAATCTTTTTATTTGTAAGCCATCCCCTGATCCGTGTGGGGCACATCCGAGTCATACCTGAACCCTACGGAGCTCAAGTGCTTAATGAGGTTCCCTTCGCTTTGCTGGGGCGTAGACTCATGTCTCCAAGAAGTCTTTGCCCACGGAGTTTTTCGTATTAGCTCAAAATATTCTGTTGATTATTCCCACATCTTGCCATTGCCTCCTTCACCATCCTGGAGAGCTTTTTCTTCTCACCCGGCACTGTATGTCTTCTGGGTCCCAGAAACTTTATTTTCTTTTCACCAAGCTGTGTGTATTTAGCTGCTTTACTCCCAAGTAGTGCTGTGCGAATAATAGATTGTTCTGTTTGGTACTGAACCAAAATGATTAAAAGACCTAAGCCTATAAACAAAAAACATGCACAAATGTCTTGGACGAATTACAGTTTTTTGGTTTTTGTTTTGGTTTCTCCTACAGAAGTATAACTATGCATCTTCTCCAATGTAGTAACTCCCAACAGTTAAAAAAAATCCTTTTCAGACTCATCTTTGGCAGTTTCCAGTTTTATTGGTCAACTAATGTGGTGACAAGTACAATCATACCTTGCTTCTGGTACACAGTATGTTTTGCCTAAGTCTCTTCATCATGTGGAATAAACACTGTTCCTCTTTCTTGATTTGGTCCATTGTGTCCTAATACTGGGGTGTCTTTAAAGGGTTGTGGTGTTACACTAGAGTCATTGTTTCTCAGATTCGTTGGGGCAAATCTCAGCAGGCACAGCTTGGAATTAGATATGGGAGGAGGAAGGAATGAGGTTAAAGTTGTGATTTTTTAAAATTTTTTATTTTTTTTTGTAAAAGGGAGAGAAGAGTTTGTTACTGCTGCTTTGCAATCACAAGTTTGGTTTGTGTTTTGGTAACATTTTCCCCAAGAACAACTCGTCTCACTAAGTTCTTGATTACCTTGGACCATCTGGGTGCTCGTAAAATGTTAGTGTGTTTAGATAGTCACACAGTGTTGAGACAGGGCATGTTGCAGAGCTGCTTCTCGGTGGAGTGGATCAAAGACTCCCACTTACAGACCTCTTTGAATGAAACTACAGTTAGGAGTCAGTGATGGGGTCTCCTTGATTCCAGGGCATAAGAAGAGGCTGATGACCAACTTTGAAGTGTTGTCTTCATAGGCAGGGTTTTTTTGAACATGGCTGAAAACTGGGACTTTCTTTTTCTGTGCAGAGACCAGGACTGAGACTCAGAAGGCATTTAGGTGCCAGAGATCTATTTCTGTAGGCATGTATGAGCAGAGGATATTCTGTGTTATCTTTGATTTGGAGAAGTTTTGATTTGTCATGTTCATCCTCTGCTTGAAGGGGAATTTAAGTGTACTGAGCGTAAGGCCCTGAGCATTAGTGACCCAGGGAGAACGAGCTGCCTTGGCTTTTTCAGTATCCCTGCACTCTGAAGCCCTTTGGGAAGATGCTGCAAGCTGAGCTGTTCTTCTTTTCATTCACTTGCATTCAGCCAAATGGAGCTCAGAGGATTATGGAGCCAAACTGTTGAGACAATACCGAGAAAACTTAGTGGAGCTCCTCACAGACACCCAGACGCTGCTGCAGGGCATCTCTGCTGCACAGAGCCTGTCCCCAGCTGAGAGAGAGGTAAGCAGAGTCCTGCATGTGTGCAAGCAGATACTGAGCTTTAATCCCCATCTGGGATCCCTGAGGACTAGGTTTACTGCCTGGCATGGCTTGGTTTGGGGCAGTCCTCCAGCAGGACCTGATTTGATGATTCCTTAGTATCCCACAGCAGGGGTGAAGCAGGTACCGTATATGAAGCTGAAGGCTGGCAAGTAAAAGTGGCTGATTTGGGCACTAAGGAGAGATGCTTAGCTTCGGAGTGAGTTGAGGGAAAGGATGATGAGTTTGGGTGAAGAACTGGGCTTCAAAGTGGTCACCACTTGAGTTGCACCATGAGCCAGGTCTTCAGCAGGGCGGGAGCAAGGGAAGGCTGGGTCGTGAGCCGTGGTCATGTCTAAATGTGACGCAGGGCAGGTGGATGAGGGTCCCTTGTTAGTGCCTTGCTGTGGGTCTTTCCAAGGCAATGGAGCAGGTTGTGAAGCGCGAGGCTGGCGGTTTCGCCTCGCTTGTGTCGGCAGCGCTGGAGGAGCGGTCTCTGTCGGTCTCTGCCGTTTGGCAGCTGCTGCTGGCTGTGCGGGAACCTGCACCGCTGAACCTGCTGATGGAGGAGATCCGGAAACAACCCGATGCAGAGTTTTTCTTCCGAGCAGGTAACAGCCTTGGTGTCCCCCCCGTACTCTCCCTGAGCTTCCCTGCTGCTGGCAGGAGCTGCTTTCTAATACCTCACCCTCTCCCTGTCTGGGAACCCCTTTTCTCAAAACACGTGTCCTGGGTGAAACTGTGGATTGGTTGGAAAAGCACTTTGGTCTGCAAACGTGGCTGCTTTGCTTGTGGCTCTGTGTCTTCAGGTTTTGTAATGAGCAAACCTCTTGAGAGCTGGCCACCATCCTGCGCTAGTAACCAGCTGGAGGCCCATCAGACTGAAAGCAAGCGTTTCACTGGAGGTCTGTGTGCAGCTACCCCCCTGTCCTCTGCAGAGCCTCAGCCTCTCGCTTTCAGTTTTCCTACTTTTAAAACCTAATCTCTGCTTTTCCCCCAAAATCATTATCAAAATCTCATGCAAGTGTAAGGAGTGCTCAGGCTGGTGGTCTCGTGTGGCAGGAGAGGGAGGCTGTGCAGAGCCCAGCCGTGTGTGCTGGCACTGTGGGCCCAAAGCTGGGGTTCACCTGCCTGCAGTCAGATGCCTCTAGTGTAGCTGCCTCTGACCAAACTCCTCTCCTCCATCCCTTCTGTGCTCAGCCCAGAAAAAACAGCACTTCTGGCGCATGGCCAGCCGCTTTTTACATGGCTGTCCTTGGATGAGGCAAATTGTGACTAGAAATGACTGTTTCTCTGTGAAAGTCAGAATGGGATGTCTATAGTTGGGGGAGAGAAGAAATCCTGAGTCTTGGGAGAACCACGCCTGCCTTTTGAGATTGTCACTGTCTCTTTTCAGCAACATGCTTTGGAAAACTTGGTTTTCTCACCTAAGGCTGGACAAGCAGTGAGCGTCTGCCAGGGTTTTATGCTGGATGTCAGTCCTGCAATTAGTCTAACCAAAGCTTGCCTGTAGTTGTTTGCTGTTTCCAGTGCCCTAAAGAAGTCACTTCTGCTGTTAACAGCTCAGCTTCAGGAGTGGGCTAGACAAAGCTGAACGAAGCTAAGGCCTTCAGGTTCTCTTTGGGTTTTGTGTTTTTAAATACCTTTACTTTTTATTTTCATCTTCAGTGGCCACCAGCGAGAGCACAGCCATTGAGATCATCCTGCGGCACCGCAAGCTGATCTCAGAGGCCATCAAGCAGAGAGTGGACCTGGAGGGCTTGGCTCCGGGTGAGGCAGGACTCACAGAAATGGTGAAAGAGGTGCGAAGGGATGCTGTCAGAGCCGGCGTGATTCGGGGCTCAAAGGGTGGTCAGGCCAAAGTGTGCACTGAAATCAAGCGACATTACTTAGGTTGGGGAAGCCATCCAAAGTTGGAGGTGACCCTCTGCTGAAGTGAGAGTGTGTTGGGTGTTTTATATAAACTCTGCAGGAGTTTTTTGGTAAAAGAAATTGCCAGTGAGATTCCCGGTTGGTGAAAATGTGGGTATTCAAACACAGTGAAACTCTTCCAGCTCTGCAAGGGTGCTGAAGTCCTAGAGAAAGCAGAGCTGCCAGGTAGCGGGTTTCCATTTGACTTCGTTGTTCCAGGACATATGAGAATGAAGTGCTCCCAGGAAGTGCACTGAGGATGCCATGATTGCGTAGTGTCGCCGACTGCCTTGCCTGTTTTCCCTTTGACAAGGAAAATGGGCCGTGTTAGTTAGTTACATGCTGGCCTTTTCCACCAAGTGGGCTACAGTTGCTGTTTCCTGCTCTGGTTAGCTGCTGCTGGAGATCTGGGTGGGTGAGGTACCTATGGGCATGCGCAGATCCTCACCTTGGTTCTCCTTGCAGTGGCTGGCTGAAGCAGGTTGGATTTGGGAGAGAAAAGCCCAGAGAGAGTTGTGTATGAAAGGCAGGTTTATGAGTTAGGTAAGCTTGTAATTCACGTGAGGCATTGAGGAACGGCTCTCTCCATGGAAAGATGTTTTTAAGTGAGCTAATACCAAAACAGAAAGTCTGAGAGTTTAATTTGCTGTAACTTTTTTTAGTCCTGAAATTCTCTCAGCTCATGCACATGCATCAGTGTAGGGGCAAAGACCTGCATGGAAAGGAATTTCTGTTCTGGTTTCTCAAAGCAGTTTCCCAGCAGTAGAGATGAAATAAAGCAGACATGCCCTCACTCCCAGACCATCCAGACCTTTCACAGCCCAAAATCTCTGTCATGTGATATTTTCTTCTTCTTCTCCAGCTGCTGAGAGTTTCTGCTCAGAAGGAAAGTTCAGAGGCCTCATTGAAAGCAGCTCTGAGCATAGCCCAGGAGAAGTCTGTCCCAGCCATCAAGATCTGTCAGCTGCTGTGCAATGTCCATGAGTCCTTCCCGGACCTGCAGCCAGTGATGCAGGAGCTGGGGCATGTGGGTGAGAAAAGCACAGGCTTTCATCCTTCTGTGGTCTTTTACACGTGGTTATAGGAGTCTTGGGCGGTTGGGTAGTGGACCTCAGTGTCCTGAGGTAATTTCACAGAACTACCCCTGGCCAGCTGTCGGGATTGTACTTGCAGGAGGATTTGCAGGGGAGACTTCTGGATCCAACTGCTGAAGTGGGCATTTCTCCTGCTGGTAAAGTGCGCCACAGTAAAGTTTTGTGCATTACGAGCATTGTGGAGACCGTAACTGACCCCATACTGGTATTCTTAAACTGTGTTTGCATTTCTCCACCCCAACCCTTACTCTGGAGGCATTTAAGCAATTTAGTTATGTAATTTGTATCTATATTGGCTTATTTCTCAGAATTATTATCCTTACACTGTGGGGTTTCTTTGGCTCTTCCTGTACTGTTGGGTCTTTATGAATTCAGACTTGTATTACAATCCCTTGACTTTGTATGTGTACGTGTGTATACTTCACGGGCTGATTGTGGAAAGGTCACATCAGGGTGCGCTTACCTAGTGCAAAGATGACTGTGGTGGTGCAGTTCGTAGTCTCAGACTACTTTCTGAGTTAACCTTCTTATTGTGACTTAATTTGGTCTTGCTATATATGCGCTTTACAGAGCAAACGATCCCCTGGGAGGGTCCCACAGCAGTAGGGAAATGTTACATACTGTACTAGGTTGGCAAAGGCATGAACGAAACGTATGCAGATGGCAATTTGGTGAACTCCAGAAACAAATTCATAGCAATAACCATGTGTGGGACCCTGCCCTGAGCCGAGGGATGCTTTCCAGCTGAGCTGAATTGTATCTCTGCGTCCGTCATTTGAAGGAAGAATGCTTAACAGAATTTGGTGCTTTAGTGAAAAAGATAGCAGAGGGCCAGGAAGCTAACTGCAGGTTTGCATTCTCTTGAAAAGGACACAAATGTGACTTGCTTATTCTGTTTGCTCACATACATTTTTATAGCATCATGTTTCCCAGTGCATCCAGATTCTTTGGGCTGCAGACTCCACTGGGATGTACACAGGGGTTTTTATCCAAGCACAGGTGCTGGTTCAGCTCAATCCATCCCTATTTACTCGTGATGCAAGAGCTGCTTAGCCTACGGTGCAGTGTGGAAGTAATAGCAGATTGTTAGGTAGTTCGGGTAAGCAGCTTGTTATTAACGTCTCATCTTTTTTTAGGGTTTGCTTTGTCTGAAAATTTGAGTTGGGGCCATGATCAGTCTTTATGAGTGAACACAAGCCTCATGGCTTTGACACTGGCCATTGTTTCATGTTCAGTGAAGGCGAAGCCAACGTTCCCTGTGTGCTGGAAGAGGCAGAGAGTGACCTGCTCCTAGGTCGCTCTCTGCATCCTAGGTTCGTTAGCTTGCCTGTGTTCTTGGGCCATGAGGAAGCGTTGCTGGGGTGGTGGATGGGACTGGATGACTGGGAGCAGTGTGTGTGCAGAAGAAAACGAGGCTCTGGATTACTGCTCTAGCCGTAGGGCTCGGAGGGTAATAGCACATGCTCTGCTCCTCTTCCTTAACTCTGTGGCCTTCCTTAGTGGTCTCCCTGAGAGATGTTCTACACTGTAGATCCAGTATTCATGCCCAGTTCAGATCTAGGTCCTGTCTTCTAACTCCACTAAGAGCTGCCACCAATCCAGTTGGCTTTTCACCCTGTCATGGCTCTGGTAAGGATTTCCAGAGAAAAGGTGATTCCTTCTTATCTGCCATTCCTTCTCTGTTTCCTCCTGATGCTGCAGGCACTTGTCCCACTCCCCTTGACCCTGTCTGACCATGGGATGTGCTAGGGCTGGTGCCCTGGTGACTCTAGAAGAGGTAAGCCAACAACAATGGCACGTGCCTGTGAATGTGCAGCCCACCTTAGCTCCTGAACACCTTGCAGTGCTTACTGGTGAGGGACTTGGGGAGTCAGCTAGATTGCTCTGGCAAATGCCTGCTTCTCTGGCACCAATATCAAAGGGAGCAGACTGCTGTTACTGAGTGTCTTTGCAGGGCTTCAAGCCAAGGTTGAGACAAAATCAAGGAAGAAGCAACATCAAAAACAAGAGCCCTGGAAAAATGGTATTTACTTGGCAAAAACATATATTCTGTATGAAGTGTCTTAGGGGAGGATTGCCAGTTACCAGCCCCCTTTTGGCATCCTACAGATCTTTACACTGAACTTCCATATCTGAATTTCTAGGCCAGTCTTCTCAGCTCTGATATCACTGCTTACCAGCCCTAGATGTTGCAGGTGGCTTTACGGATCAATAGCCATGGGGCTCTTGGCATGGGATATGAATGATAGCTGCAGGCCTCATGTTTGAGGGATGTGAGCTTCCACTTGGAACAGAGGAGATCTTGTGTTTCTGAGGAACATAGGTGCCACACAGAGATGCGCACAGTTTGCAATCCACTTGAAAGCAGCAGTTTTTACATCTCTACTGAAAAAAAAACCAACCTGATACTTAATTTAGGTGAGCCAAAGCACTTGAAAAGCACTAGGCATCCCTGTGGAGGAAACTGCCTGTGTCCATCCCCAACCACACTCAGCATCATCAAAGTAATGGGTTGGTTTCTTTGATGGAGGTACGATGTGAAACCTGTTGGCTTCTCCTTGGGTCCCTTCTGTAGCTGGAGCACTCTTGATGTTGGCAGCTGGTGCTTGCAAGGACGAACGAGGTTTGGCCCTTCCAGCCAACTCCATAACCTCCTCTGTAGCCAGCTGCTTTCCACGTCTCCATACAGTCACTTCTTGGGAGATCATGTTTGTCAAGATATGCCTCGCTTTCAGGTCTCGGCAATGTGTCAAAAACTCCAGCAAAAAGGCTTTTCTTCTGCAGTTTTGTGTTTAAGACAGACAATTAGCATTTAACTTAGGCCTGAGTCACCCCCTGGAATTGTTAAACTGTGGGGTCTGCAAGGAAAATGCCATTCTCCCCTATAAAGATTCTGTGTTAGAAGCCACCATGCGTGTCAGCAACCACTGGAATGACCTTCAGGATGCAAAGGGGTTGGTGGAATGTTCTTCCAGCTTAAGCTGAAGTGGGAGATGGGATAGTCACTCACCAAGAGATCTTCTGCTTCTGGAGTGTAATATATCATGAATTGCAGGGTGGACAGAGCAACAACCAGGATTACAGACTCGGCAGACCACTTAGAAAAGAAGAAGATAACTTGGTATGAAATACTCCATAATAAACAGCAGGGGTTTTCTTCCAGGGCTGAGTGTCTTTGCCATCAGAGAATGGAAAGTGATGCAAAGTCCAGAGTCCCAGAGGACCCCACAGTCAAGAATTCATGTCTGGGACCTTTCTGGTGTATGTTTACCGTCGGCATCTGCTCCCAGGAGGCTCAGCCAGGGGCATGGCCAAGGCATGCTAAGTTCCTTCCTCTTAAACTTGATGTGCAGTCCCTTCTTCAGTCTGGTCTTATTTCTCACCAGAACACTCGGGTTCACCTCCAAGCTTCCTGCATCTCCAAGAATGGAAGCTGACTGGGTAATGCATGTTGTTTGATGCTGCTCTAATGAGGTATGAAATGTTGTCTTCACCCATGGAAGGGGTTCTGGGAGACCTCCTGGCTGCCATGTGGAAAGGAATTGATGCCCTGACGTAGCAGTGCTGCATGTCCCCTCTTCCGTGCAGGCAGCAGCCAGCCCGTTGTACTTGATGCTGTTAAAGCAACCTGGCACCTGACCTTACTCTCACATCAGCTTTGGCTCATGCAGTTTAGCATGTCTCCCATTCTCCCATCTCACGGTAGCCAGACTGTGAAGGCCTTTTGAGGGTATATTCCACCGTTGGGCAAGATTCCTCCTTCCATCCGGGATATGTATATTACGCTGGCACAAGGCTACAGGGTGCAGGTACCTAGCCATTGATTTCATGTGATCTGCTTCAGCTTGCTTTCAGAACTCTTCTCCAGGAGCAGTAGCATCCCCCTGAAGACAGAGAGCTGTTCCTGGGGCCCCTTTATGCGTTTCCCCGTGAGGGCCGGCTGAAGTTAAGAGCTCTCCCTGCCTTTATGCTGTTAGTCTTGTGCTGTTGTCTAGGCTAAAGGTTTTTAATCCTGAACAACATTTTCACAGGCATAAGAGCAGGAGGACCATGAGCCAGCTCCTGGCCCACTGGAGTCTGTGACAAAACTCCTCTTCACTGCATCTGACTCAGGTTATACCCCTGCTGCCATGGCACTTCTTCTAGACATTTCCAGTCCCAGTTTCCTTAGGGCTCGTGTCTTCATCCACATTCATCCTGCCCAACAAGATGACTCTTTCTGGCATTCAACAGTTCTGGGAGGTTTAAAGATACCTCTTCACTTGGGTCAGAAAAATTGATAGTGTTGGTTTTCAGGATGTGGGAAGAGACCTTAGAGGTGAAAGACGTGTATTGCTATCGTGACAGAGTAGGACTGTTAAAGTGGAAACTAGTCATCCAGTCTGTTTTTCTCCCTTGATGTGTTCAGGAGTTGGTGGGTCACCACTTCGCATCTTAAGATTTCCAAATCTGTTGGAATATGTCACCTAGTTTCGTTGGAAATCTAGGTCAGTATCACTGTGCAGGGACGACACTTTGCTGAGCTCTTCCTACAGTGAGGAAGGCAGAAATGGAGTTCTGTAAGCACAGGCTGAATTTCCTGTGCATTGGCAAAAGAAGTCTGCACTGGTTTCCATGGCCACACAGTTGCGTGGTTCTCATTATAGCAAAGAAGCCAAATATATCTGTTTGTATTTTGATATCTTCCATACATACATCCCCTGTGGGTCTTTTCTGTAGATTGAGATCCTAGGTGAATTTTCCAGCTCGTGCTTTTTGAGATGATGGTGTTACAGGGACTCAGAAAAGCATTAGACTTTGTAAGAAATGAATGTAATGAGCGATTTAAAATACCTCAGGGCTCTAACTAGAAAACTCAAAAGGGTCGTAGCAAGATTATCTGCTCCCTTTCAAAGAGTTTGCATTTGAGAAGTGTTCCTGAGATTTCTTGTAATTAATGGCTGGATATCCACTCTGAATGGCAGACTTAGACAGTATCATACCTGAGGCTCAGACCTTTAAACATTTAAGCATGGCCATAACTTCACATGTCTGAGCAGGAGGCAGATGCTTGGAAACAACAGTTGTTCCTGTTTGAGGAGCAAGCCCTTTGGAATATCTGGCCCTGGTTCTTGCTGTCTCATCCAGCCCGTGGTATGTGTGGGTGGAGAAATTCAAGGAGCACTCCTTCATGCATTGTACCGTGCATGGCCGTGGCTGCTTTTGGGCAGAGCCATCTGCCACTGTTGTGATGAGACAGCATGTCTGATGTGTGTCTGTCACTGCTGAGCAGGGACAATTGCTTGTGCAGGAGTATTCAGGAAATGGGAGACTGGGGGGCTGGTGCCCAGTCCTACTGGTCACCACTGAAACAGGAATTGCTGTTTCCGTAGGTCTCTTGACTGAGGGAAGTGGGGAGAAACCTGGGATCAGGAAGTGGAAGGTGAACAGTGAATCCCAAGTTGAAGCTCTGGACAAAGATGAGTACAAGGTGGGAGGTGCCGGTGCCAAGGAGCTGAAGGAACCCCAAGAAAAAGCTTCTTCCAAGAAGAGTTTTGTCTGCAAAGCCTGCGAAAAGACCTTCCACTTCTACTGCCGCCTGAAGGTGCACATGAAACGTTGTCAGGTGGCCAGAGGAAAGCAAATCCAGTGTAAGGAGTGCAGCGAGGTCAAATCGACAAAGAAGGAGCTGGAGAAGCATCAGCTGGAGGTTCATGGAGTGGTGGGGACAGCCAAGAAGAAGAAGAAGCGGCTCCCCGTGGTGTGTGACATCTGTGGCCGAGAGTTTGCTCATGCCTCAGGTAGGGTTAGTGGGACCAGGGGTGTTTGGACAGAAGTCTGGACCGTATAATGAAGTGATAGTCTGAAATCTCCTCCTCCTCCTCCCTGCAGCTCCGTGAGCACCATGTGTGAGAAATGCAGCTCAGCTCATTTCTCCTGCCCCACTAAGCACAACCGCTTTCTGATTAGTTCTTCCCTAATTGGTTTTCCACATGGCTCATCAAGGAAAAGTGAGGCTACTGGCAAATTTAAAAGCCTCCAAAAATAATCAAACTGTTCCGGTTCTGTGGCTGGTTTAGCAGGATGAGTAAGAGGAGTTGAGTTGAGTCTCTTTGCCCTCACCGTGACTGCTCATGATATCCTGGTGGACTTCCAGGCCAGAGGACACTGGTGGACCCCTGGTGGTGTGGGTGGGCTGGTGGACCTCCAGGCTGGGTGGAGTGGTACCCCTGCAGCGGGGTCAGACAGGGCTGGCACTGGGTCCCACCAGTGCCGCCTTGGTGTCCTGCCTGCCTCAGGGATGCAGTACCACAAGCTGACGGAGCACTTCGACAAGAAGCCCTTCTCCTGCGAGGAGTGTGGGGCCAAGTTTGCAGCCAACTCCACACTGAAGAACCACCTGAGGCTGCACACGGGGGACCGGCCCTTCATGTGCAAGCATTGCCTGATGACCTTCATGCAGGCCTCGGCCCTCGCCTACCACACCAAGAAGAAGCACGCTGAGGGTGAGCCTTCCCCATGGGAGCCTGGCCATGGGCTTAGCTTGCTCCATCCACCCCTTTGTGCCCTGTTCCTTCATCAGCCTTCTGTGTTTTTCTCCTGAGTAGCTCCTCTCTGTCCCCTCACATCTAGACTCCTGCGATTCGTCCTCCTCCCTCTGGCTAATCTGTTTTCTCCCGTCCCTCCCTCTGGCTGAATTTTGCATAGCTTTTCATGCTAGCGCTTCTCCTGCCCCTGCACCCTGCCCCTTCCACTGCCGGGGCATGAGCATGTTGCAGCTGGGCGGGTAGTTTCGAACATGAGACATGCCAGCATGTAGTACCTTCGGAAGTGTGTAGTACCTCCGGATACTTGAGGTCTGTAGTAATTCAGTACTCCCTGTGCAGGTGCAGCTTTCTCCAGCACCTCTAGGACCTTTTTGACCCCGCGCTGAGATGCTCTGACTACCCCGGGAAAGTCTGTCCACTTTAGAGTCTCTCCCTTTTCCCTCTGAAATTAGATGTAGTCCAGGAAGAGCTCCTGTCCCGTTAGGTGCGGGCGCTCACCCTCGGTCCCTCGGTGTCCCTGCAGGGAAGATGTACGCCTGCCAGTACTGCGACGCCGTGTTTGCTCAGTCCATCGAGTTGTCGCGCCATGTCCGGACTCACACGGGGGACAAGCCGTACGTCTGCCGGGAGTGTGGGAAAGGCTTTCGCCAGGCCAACGGGCTCTCCATCCACCTCCGGACCTTCCACAGTGAGTGTGGCTGGGCCCCCCCCCCCT